CCTAGCTTTTCAGCCGCTACAGTAAAAATTTTGGGTCAGCCGAACGCAGCCATACATTATTACTACTACATTAGTGTCCCAGCTGTAGTAGTTGATCTAAAACGTGGCTAAAAGATTGTTTACTAGCGCGAACCCATGCGGCGTCAACGTGATTCTCAAGCTAAGTGTCCATCCAGTTCATCGAGGGGCTGCATGCAGTCAAACTGTACTGTTACGGTAGTTAAAGAGTAGAGTACTACGTCTATACAGCTACGGTGTTCTTTGCTATCAATCTATTCTAAATTAAGCGAATCAGGAGTGACGACATCAACTGTTTAACGAGGACACGATAGACTTTTTCCTTGCCTTTTATTCTTAGGCCCGCTTGAATCTTGGAATTGAATTTACTCTAATAATCATAATTTAGACACATATTAATTAAGCTAATATAGTTCTATATAGAATATATTTGTATATTATTGTAGACCAAACAAGAGATACTTATGTGTTGCATTTTTATCGTAGGGGAGCAAGTTGAAGAGCGTGTTACAAGTTGCAAAGTAAAAACATATCATGGTGATCTATAGAATTAATTTTCATCTCACACCCTATGGATTTTGAGATAGGATTATATAGTTATGTGTGAACTTTGAAAAATTGTGAAATATTAAATTCCAAACCAAATAGCCTGGCTTATTAAGTAGATTCTAATTCTCCAAAATAAAGTTTTTTTTTTAAGAAATTGAGAGCCACGGAGTGAATAGTGAAGCACCATACTAGACAGTGATGAATCTAGAGTATATCGACGTCAAGGATCATGACCTAACCCATAACCAATTGAGTGTTACACTTTTATAAATGAAATCAAGGTGGACAGATAATGTTGACGGGTCGGTCCCATAATAAAAGAAAGAAAGTGATATTTAAGATTTTATGATGGATGGCCCTGTTCGTTTTTCTAAAATTTAGCTTATACTGATTTGTTGTGAGAGAAAAATAATATTGATTCGTTAAAAAGTACTGCTGAAGTAGTTCAAGCGAATTAAAGATAGAGTTAAGAGTAAAGTCCACTACCTGTCCTTAAACTTGCGTCACTGTGTCATCCAGTCCCTAAACTCTCAAAACGTTTATCTAGGTACCTAAACTTTGTTCAGGTCACATTAATCATCCAAACGGGTCTAAATTCACTATGCGCCTCCACCTGCCTCTCCCTGGGTCCCGTTGCCCACGCACCTCCGCTCCACGGCTGCGGTCGAGAGCCGGAGGCTGAGCTTCGTGAGGAGCCATGAGACCACGGCCGGCGAGCGTGAGCGGCCGCTCACCATCTTCGTCCTGCTCACCATCTTCTACGACCAGCCCCGAGAACATGAAGGCCCTCGGCACGGCCATGTCCCTGACGACGTACGGCGTCGGCAGCATGCTGAGCAGCGGCATCCTCTCGGTCGTGTAGCTAACGGATTGGGAATGGCTGCCGATCGACATGTTAAGTTGGCCAAGCCTGTCACCGGAGAGCGAGTCGCTGCCGAACGACGGGCTCCGGCTGGAAAATGTTGTCGACCCTTTTCATGGTGCGCTTCATGTAAAGGCGCTGCTTCATGTCGCCGAGCAGGACGAAGCGCTGAGCGGACGAGCGCGTGCGCCATGTCGACTTGACGGGGCACCGTGATGTGCTTCTCGCCGTAGTCGACGTTGGTGATGCCGCCGTCATGTGTTGATGCCACTCATGAGTCGTGAACATCGTCATGAACCAATCCAAGCGCTACGGGATGCAACGTATATGGAGCATCGTAGTATATGGCGTGGTACGTATACTGGTATGTGCAATGCAAAGCATACACGACATCGAGGATACCATAGCAGAAAAGCAACAGCACATGGCATGGCCACAACTCTTCCACGGCGATGGCAACACCAGATATTCATCATCATCAGCCGACGTGGTGCCAAACCATCATCAAGGCGTGCACGCTGCGGCCTGCCTGCGGAGGTGCCCGGGGATGATAGCTTGGCCGTGCTATCCTGGTTTGCTCGCTGGTGTGCGGAGCTGCAGGAGCTCACCCATATGGAAGCGGAGATGGCAGGAGACGAGCTCAGCCTCTCTGGCCTGGCCGCAAGAAAGGAAGGCGTGGCAAGCCCGGTGAGACCACGACGCCCACAGCCTCCGTGGCCTCCTCGCCCGAGGGAGCCTGGGCACCCATCAGCAGCGCAGCTGGTGGCCAGAGCGCGCTGATCCTACTCGTTCATGGCGTCTGGGACCAAAATGACATGGCTAAACAAGTTAAAGACCCACGCCGTGATCCGTTAGGACTATAGTGAAACCCGAACAAAGTTGAGGTACCTAGATCAGTGTTTTAAGAGTTTAGGGATCGGAATAACACAACGACGGAAGTTTAGAGACCGGTAGTAAACTGTACGAGTTAACCACGTCATAAAAAGAGCGGTACATGTTTTGAACCGAGTGGCATCTTAAATAAGAGTGAAGCCTCTTGTGCTAAGTCATTTTATAAAAGAAAAGTTTGATAAAATTTATAGTAAAGACTGCCGATGTTTAATCTGTAGCACGAAATAGCTACACACTATGGACATACATTTCACGTGTACTGTCACTACTATATTCAGACATATCACAAACGGTTCATAAAGCTCATCACTAGCGTTTTTTGGTCTTGACAGTAAGCTATTGGTGGTGATGACATTCTCATCATAGGCGGTTTGCAACCGACGATGATAATAACTTATCACAGTCGGTTCATATTATCTGTCAGTGGTGATTTGAATTTTTAAAATTCTTAAAACTGGGCAAAAAAAAATAGCAATTTTTTTTTGTTTCAATCCTCGAAACCCCCCACTAGCTCCAGCTTCATGGTACCAGGAAGCTGCTCCAGCTCCAACTCCACACTATTTTTCATGGTACACGGTGCTGTGATTCGAACCTGAGACCTTTGTCCTTTGCTCCTCTAACCACTCCACCCCTAAGTTACTTGTGTCTATATAGCATATCCATTCCCCTGGTATTCACTTTTCATGATTTAAAATGAATATTTAGAACCCTAAACGGCTTCAAATGAAAAAGTCATAAACTACAAATTTGTTGTTCTAATCGAGATCTACAACTTTGATTTTGGTTGTTTCTCCATATGAGGTCGTTTAACAAATTTGAATTTTAAAACGTCAAAATTTTAGCCAGACTATTGGGACCTCAAATGATTTCAAATGAAAAACTCATCAACTACAAAGTTGTTGTTCTCATCGAGATCTACAACTTTGGTTTTGGTCGATTTTTCATTCAAGGTTGTTTGAAAATTTTAGTTTTTTAAAATTTAAAACTTCATATACAAATTTGAGACTATAAATGATTTCTAATAAAATAGTTATCAACTATAAAGTTGTATATCTCATCGAGATCTACAACTTTGGTTTTGGTCATTTTTCCATCTGAGGTCGTTTGTACAAATTCGAAAATTTTGAATTTTAAAATTTGAGTGCTTCAAATAGAATTCTAGGACCGTAAATGGTTTCAAATGAAAAAGTCATCAACTACAAAGTTGTCAATCTCATCGAGGTCTACAACTTTTATATAAAGTTTGTTTTCATCTGACTTTATTTAAAAAAGTTATGAATTTATTTATACTGTAGCATTGTTATCACCGCCGTATTATACAAGCTGGCGGTGAAAATATCTTCACTGCTAGTTCATATGGCGAGGCGGTAGTGATGAGGAGCACATTATCACCTCCGGTTGGTGGTGTAAAGCAATTGTGATGATGGACTATCACCGCCGGTTGGTAAGACGAAGTGACGGTGATAGTTATCAACCCCCACGTTCTTACGAACCGGCGGTGATACTCTCATCACCAACGGTTCGTATTACGAACCGTTGGTGATAGTTATTATCAACGGTTTTAATGATACCAGCGGTGATAAAGGTATTGGTGATAGGTCAATCTGTAGTAGTGTGTAATGATACTTTGTTTTTAGCATCATAAATATATATTTTTTATAAATTTGGTCATGCTTAGAATGTCACAAATACTTGAGTCAGGTATAGTGATAATGTCACATACTCACATATTAACAAACAGGCAGACTAGCATCCAGACGTCCGGCCCTAGGCCTGCGTCCCGCACCTGCTCAATGTCGCACACCCCACTCGCTCGGGTTCTGCGCCACTCGAACGACTTGTGCCCCACCCACATTGCCCGCCCCCATGCAGGCCCATGCCGCCTGCTACTCCCCGTGCTCCACCCTTGCTCCGTGCCGCGCGCCCCGCTTGGTCGGGTTCACGCCACTCAAACGACTCACGCCCCACCCACGCCTCCTGCCCCCACGTGGGCCCACACTGCCTGAACATCACTAGCACTGATAAAGAGGAGACACCGAGGCGAGGCAGCAGAAGGCGAGGAGAGAGATGCAACACCCAATCTACTTTTGAAACATCCAGATACAACACTTGCAACAAACGTATGAATACAGATGAAATGTTTGAAACACGCGTCTAAAACACTTGCAAAAACACACATCAAACACTTGAACACCATTGCAACACTTACGCAAGATCCAGATAAAATACTTATAACATATGTGTGAAACATATGCAACATCCAGACAAACACACTTGCAACATACGTCTGAAAAAACAAATGAAATATTGAGAACAAACGTTTGCAACATAAGTGTATCACCATTGCAACGTATGCAACATCCTAATTTCCTTTTACAACATCCATACGAAACACTTGCAACATACCTCTGAAACAACTTAAACACTTGAAATATACACTTGCAACATGCGTTTTCAGCGCAATGTCACCTTGTTGCTTGGACGAATGGAGCTCATCGTTGTGGAGCTCGACGCAGGCACAGAGCTCGATGCCACAGAGTTAAAGGAGGTCGCCTGTGCCCGTGATGGACCACCAGTGGAAGAAGGCCCTAACGCGGATGCCGCTGAGGCACGAGATGCGACAGTCGTCGAGGCAGCCCGTGAGGTGGTCGCTGAAGGCGGTGAGGTAGCGCCCTGCTGGCTACACGATGCGCCAGCTAGAGCGGAGGTCAATGATGAAGTCCCCGGAGCCGGCATCGAGCGTGTAGGCACGCACGTTGGCCGGGAGCAGGCCACGCAGGAAGCCCTGTAGGCAGAGCTCGTCGCACACGGTGGTGGCGGGCGGTGGCGAGGTGAAGTTCGGGCGGGTGAGCGGGAGGAGGAGCGACGCGGCGAGGAGGTGGTGCGTCATCGCGGGGTTTGTTGCGTTGGCCAGAGATCGGGGGATGGCATGGAGGCCAGCAAAGGGGGACGGAAGAGACGTGTGGGGACGACAGAACAATCCAGAACGGAGGAGTCGGCCGTTGAAATGTCCAGACTAGAGGCACGGGACGGATGGCTGCGGTTGACTGGACTGCTGTCCAGGCCCAGCAGGAAGCGTCTGGACGGACGGACGGACTCACCCAGCATTATCGATTAACAAAGGTGCCACCGTAACAGGACGTGTGCAAGGTGAAACGCCATCACGCACGGCATGTTGCCGGGCCGAAGAAAGTGGAGGAAGTTAACGATGTGACGTTTCTTGACGTTGGTTTGGCTGCAAAGTGCAAACGAAACCGATCGAGACTCGAGAGGACAGGCAGCTGCTCTGGTGGTGGGTACACGTACTACGTTCATGTTTGGCTTTAATTAGGAACACGTGCAGGGCAGGGTAATCATGTTCGACATGGCCCATGAGCCTACGGACACGGAGTCCATCCTTTCCAATTCCATAGACGCTACAGCAGCTCCGATGCCCGATGGTGAACGAACGTACTAGCAATGGTTGTTGAGTTTGAAGCTCTGTTGTGACGTGCAGCTAGGCCCAGCAGAATTAACTCTGTGGGTCCGATAGATGGCAACTGATGAACTGAAACCGGTGCACGGTGGCTGATGACGCACTTGCACACACAGGTGACGAGGGTGCTTGGCTGCTGCTTCCGTGCAGCTCGTGCCAACATAGAAAAAGCTAGTGTAGAGTTGTTGCTTCGTTCTAGACCAGCAGCTCATGTCGATAGCTTGGACTTGGACCTGGCCAGTAGAGCAGGTACGACTGGGACGTACATTGGCCCTGTTTGTTTTGATCGTTCACTGATTCGTTTTTAGAGAAAAACACTATTTTTTCCGCTGAAAAGGTATAGCTGATAAGGCAAACGAACATGACCATTAACATTAGTGTGTCCAAACTCCCAGGTCACAGCTGTAGTAGTTGATCGAAAACGTGGCTAAACTAATTGTTTACTCGCGCGAAGCCATGTGGTGTCAACGTGATTCTGAAGCTAGTGTCCAGTCCATCGCGGGGCTGCACGCACGCAAACTATACTACTCGCCAAGTCGCCAGTCCACGTTGTTGACATCGAGAGTATTACGGTAGTTAAAGAGTAAAGTACTGTAATACTACTGTACTACGGCTATACAGCTACGGTGTTCTTTGCTACTAGTATGTCCAATAGAGCCAATGCCACGCGGGCCCAGCCACGCGCACTCGCCAAGTCCCCAACGACTCGTCGCCGTCGTCGAATCAGCAGTCGCTGTCCGTGCCTCCGCGGTTGTGAAATTTTTGTATTTTGGTCCCTTTTGAAAATATTTTTTATAAGAAGACCTACGCCAAAACGTTTTCTAAAAATAGACTATTTTTAGGCGTCTTAAAACATGACGCTGAGGTATGAGTGTCGGCGTCGATTGACACGACGCCGAGGTATTGCCACGTCACAGACGACCCCGGTCGACAGCTACACGGTGGCGCGTGGGGTCCGAGACGTCGGCGTCCTGTCAGCACACGCCATGGGCCCAACCTCGGCGCGGCTAGACTGAGCGCCGAGCTATGGGCACCATCCGGCGCGCGGCCCAGGCGGCCCAACAACGCATCGTGGCCCAGTAGCTCGGCGCGGGGTCACTTAACGCCGAGTCACCAGACCTCGGCGCGGCCCGACTCAAAGCCGAGGTCTGGTCCCTTGAGGCCGCGCTGAGGCCCCCTTCTTCTTCCTCCCTCCATTCTGATGAACTTTTTTTACTATGTTGTAATGCACTCTGCTTTTATTTCAGATGAACTTATTCCCTGAACTTTTTTTATTATGTTGTAATGCACTATGCTTTTATTTCAGATGGTCTTATGCCCTATACTTCGTTAACTATCCTAGGACTGTAGTGCTACTGTTTGTATCACTGAAAAGGCTACTTGTGCTGTTGCAGTCACTGAAAGGGCTACAAGTAGTGTTGCAGTCAATGAAAATTCTATTTGAAAACTTGCTGAAAAGCCTAGATTCGTTTACTGTTGTATCCATATACGCAATGAATTAATATCAGAGTGATGTACTGCATTTAGATGATGTGACAAAACACAGGTGTAGCCTTTTCAGATGAAATGACCAGTCATGGTTGTAGGCTTTTCAGATGAAGCATCTAGCCTTTGCAGATTCAATAAATGAGTATGCACACAAGTTTTTTGTCAAGTAGCATTCGTGATGAACCTGCCTTCATCTCTATATATAGTGCTCTATGTCTTGCTCCACATCCACACAACTTGTTTTCTGGTTTAGTTTTAGCAAATGTCGAGCGGAGGTTCCTCGAGTGGAAAGGGTTTCGGCGGAGGGAGAGGAAAGGGGGTGAGGAAGGGACCTCCAATTGTGTGGGAGGGTTCTCTGGGTCCTGATTCTTTTGAAGAACTAATAGAGGAATTTCCTTTGGAGAGGAAGAGTGACTTCACCCCTGAGAGACCTCTTAGATCATACGACAAGCGCATTGAAGATTGGCCAAAATGCCGCCACGGTTTGGATTGTGTTGTGCAGATGTACAACGACTGTGACGGTGGAGGCCGTCGTTTCTTCAGATGCCCGCGAGGATTTGTATTTCCTTTGAACTCTCTTCTTTTTTATATTTGCATTTCGTTTATAATAGTACTTATTGGTAGATGGGTTTTCAGGATTCAAGCTGTCCAGATAACTGTGGCTTCACTAGATGGGTCGACCCTCCTCCTATATATCCCCATCAACAGTACATCACATATCTACAGGGACGCATCTTTGACCTAGAGTATGGCCCTGGAAGTGGTAACAGGGATAAGTCGGACGACGACAATAGCAATGATGCAGAGGAGGCACTATGCAATAATCCGTACTGCCAGTGCCCGTACCATAAGAAGCACGGGCCTCCTTCTCCACCGCCACCGCCTCTGTCATTTGGGGGATATTGTGGGGAAGGCGCAACTCAGTTCAATATGTGGGACCGTTATTAGGATCAAACTTTGTTTGTTAGTCAATTCGAATGTGGAATGCTTGTATGAGTTGTTCTTCTCAAACCCCTAATCATGCTAGGTCTAGTTTGCAACATGGCATTGTTAGTTTTCATGTGAGTGTGTAATCATAATACCTTTGTAACGTCTGTATCACTTGTTTCTTTCAATCCCTAAGGCATGGTAGGTTTAGTTTGTGACATGCCATTGTTAGTTTTTATGTGAGTGTAACTGTAGTGCATTCGCTATTTCATAAATTGTAGTTTACCTATCTCTAAGTTTCATGTACTATGGTTGATTCCGAAACTCAAAAAAAGATTTGACTCTCTCTAAGAATAGGGGATTGAAATTGAACATTACAAATGAGAATAAAAGAAATAATAAAAGAGTACCGAAAAAGAATAATCAAAAAAGAAAAGGAAAAAGAAGTAGAACAAAAAAAAGAAAAAAGAGAATGGCGTCGAGTCAGCCCACGCCGAGGTAAAGAAAATGGCGTTGAGTCGGCCCACGCCGACCCTAGGGTTTGGCTCGACCGGCCCGCCAGGTTTGGGCTTTAGCTCGGCACTGAGTCGGTCCACGCCGAGTTTGAACACAGAGGCGTTGAGTCGGGCCACGCCGATGTTTGGGCCACGGACATCGCCGATTCAGCCCACGGCCCTATCTCGGCGTTAAATGAATAAACGTCGTTTCTAAAGGGTCGGCGTCAATTTACTACGCGCCGAGCTTGGGCACCTCGTCGCTTCGAACCAGCCAATTCCAATATGCGCCAGGGGTCGGCGTTAATTGACTAAACGCCGAAATGCCTACCATCGGCGTGTCTTGATTTGACACCGAGATTTGAGTACAAAAAAAAATGAAATGAACATTTTAGTTCACAAGTGCACAGGTTGACAGAATTTCGCAGAATACAAAATTTCATAGAATACACATTCAACGCTGGAAACATAGTGATATGCTTCATCAAACATAGTCCATGTCGTTACCACATCGACATACGCATTCAACATCGAAACATAGTCCAAACATAGTGCATACCATAAGATACATAGAACATTACATAAGGTCGCACAAAAGAAGCATATGACAAGGTCTGCAGCTTTTAGTTCGTTCCTTCTCCAATGCTCCTTTTCACCTTGATCTCTCTTTTTCCTATAATAGTAAATTTTAACCCTTTCAGTGACTGCAACAGCACAAGTAGCCTTTTCAGTGATACAAACAGTAACACTACAGTCCTAGGATAGTTAACGAAGTATAGGGTATAAGACCATCTGAAATAAAAGCATAGTGCATTACAACATAATAAAAAAAGTCCAGGGAATAAGTTCATCTGAAATAAAAGTAGAGTGCATTACAACATAGTAAAAAAAGTTCATCAAAATGGAGGGAGGAAGAAGAAGGGGGCCTCGGTGCGGCCTCAAGGGACCAGACCTCGGCATTGAGTCGGGCCGCGCCGAGGTCTGGTGACTCGGCGTTAAGTGACCCCGCGCCGAGCTACTGGGCCACGATGCGTTGTTGGGCCGCCTGAGCCGCGCACCGGATGGTGCCCATAGCTCGGCGCTCAGTCCAGTCGCGGCGAGGTTGGGCCCGTGGCGTGTGCTGACAGGACGCCGACGTCTCGGACCCCACGCGCCACCGTGTAGCCGTCGATCGGGGTTGTCCGTGATGTGGCAATACCTCGGCGTCGTGTCAGTCGACGCCGACCCTCATACCTCGGCGTCATATTCTAAGACGCCTAAAAATTATCTATTTTTAGAAAATGTTTTGGCGTAGATTTTTTTATAAAAAAATGTTTCAAAGAAGGACCAAAATACAAAAATTTCACCTCCGCGGTACTCCTACTTGTACAGTTGTGCTACAACCCCGCTCCGCAAAACACATAAAAAAATTATTCCCACGTGCTCTGCTCTGCTCATCTCCTCCCTGACACCTTCTGCACAAGCGACCACTGCACGGCCGTTCCTCGCCCAACTCCAACAACTGATTGCTCGGTCCAAGTTCACTGCTTTCGACTGGGATACTCGCTCGCTCCCAAATCTCAAAACGAATGGAGACGGATAGGCTGGAATCCGTGGAGGGAACCGGCGCCGGCGGCGAGAATGGCGCGGCCACCAAGCTGCAGAAGGTCTACCGCAGCTACCGGACCCGCCGGAAGCTCGCCGACTCCGCCGTCGTCGTCGAGGAGCTCTGGTACCCGTACCCCTTTGATTTCCACCACCTTCATTTCTCTTAACTGCCTCTGATTTATTTACTGAGTATTTGCTTTGTTCCCCTTCTATTTGTCCGGGTCCGATTGGCATGGGCAAACAAAGGTTTTAAGAAAAAATAAATAAAAATTGCCCCTTTTGTTGTCACAACACACACCTTTGCTTCTTCTTCAATCTTTGATCCTGTCTGCACTGTACTGTACGCCTGCTCCGCGAGTTGGCTTCCTTCCAAGAAAATCCACGAAACGGTTACGGTGCCGAATTTTGTTCTTGTTCATGGTTACTGATGTTGACATCACTTCTAGTAGCTGGGCCCTCTTCGTTTCGGGGAAAGAAAAAACTTTTGATTGAGACTGATTTCGATCAATGGTGATGATGAAGGTGGCAAGCCCTGGACTTCGCGCGGCTCAGCCACAGCACCGTCTCCTTCTTTGACGAGCCCAAGCCGGAGACGGCCGCCTCGCGCTGGAACCGCGTCGGCCTCAACGCATCCAAGGTCTTCCCTAGTCCCTCCCACAGACCTATGTTACGTTTTTCATGTCTGCTTTGCTTGCTTGCAACTTGCAACAGCTGGGTCAGGGTTTATCCAGAGACGGCAAGGCTCTCAAGCTGGCTTTCCAGCACTGGATCGAGGCTGTGAGTACATAATCCACTACTAGTATTGTTTCTCAGTTTGGCTTTACATTAGATGCTGTATTTTCAGGTGTATGAAAAAGAACCTGCTTTTCAGTATGTTGACTTCAGCTTTTTGTCATGTGTGAACATTGATCATAAAAAAGGTCCACGGATTGACGTCATGGGATTTCCTTCCCTTCTCTTTGTAGAGTGATGAAGTTTTCTTTTTTTTCGGACCGGGCCATTACACGTTTTTCATTGAGCAAATAGAGTGATGATTTCCAAGACTCTGATCCATTGCAACTGTCATAACTATGTTCATATGTTGTTGCATTGTATAGATTGATCCACGGCATAGGTATGGGCATAACCTGCACTTTTACTATGATGTCTGGTGCCAAAGCCAGGCCGGACAGCCCTTCTTCTACTGGTGAGAACTTCACTACGATTTGCTTTGATACATTTGCAAATTCTGTTATTTGAGGTAGTGGAACCTACATAACAGATCTGAAATAGAAGTATATCTATTCATACCAGAATCTATGTTACAATTGGAAGGCCTGCTCAAAATAGAAATTTCAGTTATCAGTTTGATTGCACGACTAAGTGAGCTGTGCGTTTGTAGGCTTGATGTTGGAGAGGGAAATGATATAGACCTTCCAGAGTGTCCAAGAGCTTTGCTGAAAAAGCAATGCATAAGGTATCTTGGTCCGGTAAGACACCTTCACCATGGTTGTGTATCTTTATTTAGAACTTGTGATATATATCCTTGCTGTTACCTTCAAAAAGTATATATCCTTGCTGAATATATCTGCAAAAGGATGTATGATGACTTGACTAACATCATCCACAAAATACTGTGCCAGTTTCATGAAGCTTTTGTTTTGTTATTAACTATCAATATCTTCTCTAGAAAAAATGCTCACTACCTTTTACTGTAGAAATTTTCCTCAAGTTCGAATTTTAAGAAATATTTTGTCAAATAAAAGGTGCATTGAATCTTCTTCTTATTAGTTTATCAAATTGCTGCATTTATGAACTTCATTTGACATAGCCTCAAATCAGAATTATTGTTCATCTAAAACTTGTACAGGATCCAGTCATGCCCTGGCCTGATATTGTTCACATTATTATTTCCTTTCCTCATGAATCCGGACAATTGATACAAATACAATTGACATCGCAATGTTATAGGTAGTTAAGAACAGGAAAATGGATTCATTTTAGCAAACTTCATTCTTTTTTACGGTTCAACGGAGGGGAAAGGATACTTCACCAGCTCATTTTCATTGCATAGGAGTGTGTACCAAACAGTACCGCTCATAAAGAGTTAATACTGACCAAGGTTTCAAGGATGGTTTGTCAGAAAAATTACAGTGGGGAGAATTACAATTACATATTTAGAACTAGAGCTAAACACCAGGCGTCACTAACAATAAACTCATTTTCTGGGAGGCCCTAGTGCCATAGGTGGGTCATTTCTCTTGCTGCAGCAAGCAGGCTCGCCCTTGAATATGAGAAAGCAGTTCAAAGCTACTAAACCTACCACATTTCAAAGCTCTAACATCTGTTTGATGTTTTGCAGCAAGAGCGTGAGCACTATGAATACATCATTAATGAGGGAAAGATTATTCATAAACAGTCTGGAGAACCACTGGATACGAGCAGGGGTCCTAAAGGGACTAAATGGATTTTTGTTATGAGCACAGCAAAAAGACTTTATGCTGGCAAGGTAACTTTTTTACTCTACAGGGACCTTTGTCCCATTTTGTTTCTTCAGTGCTGCTAAATCAATCTCTACGTATCCATCAGAAAGAGAGAGGTGTATTCCAGCACTCCAGCTTTTTGGCAGGAGGTACAACCATAGCTGCAGGAAGATTTACTGCAGAGAACGGAGTTATCAAGGTATTTTGCTTTAGCAACCAGTGCCTGTTGGATTGTTAGTTTTGTTTATGCACAGTATTTTACTTTCCTAGTATTCGTGCTTGTTATATTCTTTAATCGTGCACCTTTGACTAAAAAGTTATGTTTGTGTCTAGGATGGAGTTGATTATTCACTGTGAGTTGGTCGCCATACCATATCCATTTTTGCAGCTTCGTCCTGCCCGTGTCATGGACTACCATGAATAACCATTTTTGGCAATCCATTTATGAAGGGAAAATATGGAATATGAACCAGAAAATTAAACTCCATGTATTATAACGGAACATATAGTTCCTGAATCTACTTCTGTCTAGTGCACATCAGATTATCTACTTAATACTTATCTTGGTTCGACCACTGTGCAAGTTAATGTCAACTCTAAACCGTGGATTATGCTGTGTCCTTCTATCAGCATATAGTAATATCATGTTTATACTTTTATTACATCTTGTTAGTGTACCTTTTCATTGGGTGAATTCTGCTAATCTATGTTTATCTGTTCTGATATATAGTCCATCTGGGCATATAGTGGTCACTACAAACCAACTGCAGAGAACCTCGGCAATTTCATGAACTTCCTTGAAGAAAATGGAGTTGACCTCAAGGACGTTGAGGTACACTTATTCACAACCAGAACATAATATGCTTCTGTCACCAAATGGTAGATGGTTTCATTTACTGAACTTATTTTGGGGGTCAGGTGCGCTCATCTACCAAAGAAGACTACAATGAAGATCCAGTGCCTAATGACTCACAGAACTTTACTTCTGCTATCATACAACCAAATTTTCCACAAGTGGTTCTCCCTCTAAACACCACAGAAGGCGACGAGGGAGAGAACACTCCTGCAGAAGAAGCCAAGCCAACCTACCAGAGAACCTTATCAGGCGGTCTGCAAAGCCCCAAAGCCACCGATGTCGCACGGAAGGCAATTTTTGAGAGGATGAAATCCAAGAGTGAGTCCAAGTCCTATCAGCTTGGGCACAGGCTGTCCCTTAAATGGAGCACTGGGGTTGGCCCAAGAATTGGATGTGTCAAGGACTACCCAATGGAGCTCAGGATGCAGGCTTTGGAGATGGTGGATCTGTCACCAAGAGCATCAACGCCATCAGCGTCAAGGAGACTACCTTCATGCTTTTCTCCCACTACAGCAACCTCACCAACATCGCTGCTCGTGCCAATGCAGGCATCCCTGGCCCAGCCAAGTTAGAAGCTTCGGAGCTTTTATACACGCGACAGCACTTCTCCATTTTTCAGCACTGCGAAGTTCAGATACTTGGTTTGTGCTTGCTTCTTCCCTTTTGTCCTGTTGTTCAATCAGACATAGGGCGCTGCAAAGTTTTCCAAGTGAGAGCTAGATGTGGACTATCACATTGCAAAATAGATTCTGTGCAGAACCTGTTATTATCTCACAGCCAGGACAGCTTAAAGCAGATATATTTTTTATTACCAATTTACCCTTTTTCTATAGTATACACAGCTGTAGACTGGTTTAAAAATCAGTTAAGTGGCCTACACAGGTAGCTAGATTTTTTACTGTAACACTTAGATTTTCCTTACTTGAAAATATTCTTTGTTAATAGTCTTTTTTTTTTGTTTTTATCTCTGAAAATCTGGTAATGTGTCTCTGTTTTGGGAAAGTTTCCTGTGGGCTGCCTATCCAAGCTGCCATTATATTTGGTAGGTGGGGAATGGTAGGAGAATTTTTTTTCCACTAATACGCAAAAGATTTGCGCATCATTGTAATTAAGAAGAAGAATATAACCATACAAACGTCACGCTTCTAATGAGCGCTCTAGGTGGTCTTATAGCTGTGACTGGACCTTCCTAGCAGACTGTTTTAAACTTCAATATTACATAAATGACACGCTTGAGAATGGTAGGAGAATTATATTTTCGAGAGGATAATTGGATTGGGTCTGCTAGTATAGCTGTCTTGTTTTGTGATGGGTATGTTGTTTTGGTTAATGAAGAATCAGCCACTATTTCAAAACATTGGAATCTGAAATGAACTTTTAGGCGGAGTGCTGATAGTAGGCTGATGAGACTTTGGGAAGAGTTTATTCAAATTGCCTCTATAGGGAAGACTCCCATTTTCACAAAAGCGTGTCCCTGTGTTTCTTACTTTCTTTGGTTATTATTAATTATTATTATTATTATCCAAGAGCAAGCTGCTAATTAGAGAAAATAAGAAAGATAGAAGACAGGGCTTGCTAATTCTCAAAAGTGCTCTCTGCCCTTGTGTTTTCTGAGTGCACAGTGGCCAAATAGATATTATCTGAATCTATCCATGGTATCAGCTTTGAGATGTTCGCTACCGCTTGTGGCTCTGTTAAAAAGGAATTATTTGTTTTCAGCAGGGAATTAGCAAAGTGTGCAGCATCTCGGCGATCCATCCATCCTCGCAGTGGTCAAGAGCTGGGGCCTTTTGTGCCCTGGAAGATCACTTGAGAAGTTCCAGGCTTGGCTGGAGAAGCCACAGGGGACGGTGGTGTCGCCGGAGCAAATCCTGGATAGAGATGGAGGATGGGTGCTGGTCTGTGGTGTGAGGTTCCTGGAGCCTGGAGGGCCAACAACCGGAGTTGATGCAAGCTGAGCATTGGGGCTATGCTTGAGCGTGGAGGTGCACAGAGCCACGTTCTGTATGGAACAGAATGGTTGACAGCATATATAAATATATATGTATCAGTTAAAGTTGAGAGAAACAAGCAGCGTTGCCAAGAAGTGGCACCTGGCCTTGAGCCACCGAACAGCACACAGACAGAAATGAGCAGAGGAAAACACTTCAAAAAAACTCGCAACAGCACCACAGAAACAAGTAGAACTAAAACAATTCTTTCTGGCAGCATGCATGTTGTCACAAGATGTGTTCCCTAAATCTATGTTTGTGGAGTGTTCCCTAAATCTATGTTAGATCCTCACTCGCTCGCTCATGAAAGTTTTATGTTAATCAAATCAGTCTTGGTGATTTGGTTGCATATGACAAGTGCACGTGTAAGCCTGATTACGGGAGCTCACCTGAACGTACTCAACGATGTGAGGAGGAAGTTGTGCCTCCTCCACGGCCGCCCATTCGTCAATGAAATGGACGTTAATCACCGTGTCTGCTTGATCTGCGGCTGCTGCCAGTACTTGAGGCTCGTCATGGTGGAGTGCGTGCTCTGGGTATGACCTCGAGCTATATGCCTTGAAGCAAATGTTGCAGAAACGGTCGAGGTGAACTACTGGTTCATTGAAGTGTTGTGCAAATTTGACGAGCTGCTGCACCATAGGGAAGCCATTTCCCTACTTATCTTCGGCCTGCGTGGAATGGAAGTGAAATTAGCATAACACTCCAAAATTATTTATATATATGCTTACATTACATTAGCTAGATCAAAAAATTAAATACAGCAGGGGATCACATGGTTGCATTATTATTAGATAGATGGACCATGTTAGCAGCATGCATGGGGATCAACACATATGTAGTAGGGAGGGGATCAGCATTGCATACATAGTGCAGGGACCGCGAGCGAGGACAGAAGAAGGGGATGGGATCATCAGCAAAGCATTGCATTGTTTATGCAATACAGAGCTACTGTTCTCAAACAACAACTTATTGTATCGCTAGAATATAATGGACGGGCATTATATTAGTAGAGCCGCTGATATGATCTCATTCATAAAACTGACTTACCCTACAAGCGAACGAGCAATATGAGCTGCTTGAATCCATGAACTGCTCTCATAGTGTGTGCAGGGCTTGTGGAAACGCAGATCCTCCTGCTGTTGGCGTAGTATGAGGATCCACTTCTCTCCGTTCTTGCGGAATTGCTGGATTCCCGCAGTGTGATAGCCGCACCCGATTGTGTTCATGGACCGGACAGCTGGAGCATGGCGTACTGTATCCACCTGCGCACATGCATTATGTTCATTCCCACAAACATAAAGGAAATTAAATTAATGATCGAAGCTAAACTTGCATTAAAAATTTTTAAATTAGCACCGATAAGAGAAGACGTATAATGCGATGATGATGGCTGGGGAGGCAAGAATGCAACCAGGCGATGCCAGCAAATCGATGGATGCAGGAAATTAGTGTATACATGTACCAGGGAATGAATGGTTTTAAATAGCCCGCTATAGCTCCGCTATAGTTTTGCTATAGCTTTTCTGAGGGTCTACCGCTACACTGTTGCCGCTAATGACCGAGGTAGTTTAAACATTGCTATTTAGTTTAACCGTGATATATTTTTAATACCTTAATCCTAACCGAGGTAGATATCTATTCTTTAGTCTATTCAACTATAATCTATGTCTCTCCTTTAGGTTCTTTACTTAATAAATGATGTAATAAATTATTAAATAATTATTGAATTGTTGATTTGAGTGTTGATCATAACAATATGTTGATCTGAATGTTAAATAATGCTTTGAATTTGACGTTCTGAATAGGCGATAGAGGGAGGAGAGAGCTCGATGGTGGATAGGGATGCTCTAGGGTTTTGAACAAGTGGAAATGAGTGGACGGTGAGGTCCCTTACCCTCGTGCTTCTGGTCACTTATAAAGGCAATGGCTACTTACAAGTGGCCTCTTGGTGGGGTTGAATTTCACATGACACTACGCTAGCTGCTAGTTGTGCCTTTTCTATGGGGAAGATTTGGCCCATATACCTCATGGGCTCCCACAAGTGTTAGCGTGAGTGAGTCGTTATAGTCACTGAAGTGCTGGCGAAGCCCCTTGTGCTAAAGTGTTTGCTGGGAGCAATGTTGGGGGAGCCCATGAGGTATATGGGCCAAGTCTCCCCCTAGAAGAGGCCAAACTAGTAGCTGAATAGTGTCACGTGAAATCCAACCTCACCAAGGGGTCACTTATAAATAGCCATTGACTATATAAGTGCCCAAAGACATAGGGGCAAGGGACATCACCTCCTACTCATTTCCACTTGTTCAAAACTCTAGTGTGTCCCTTTTCCACCGTCGAGCTCTCTCCTAAAACTCTCTCTTGTTCTTATTCAGAATTGTCGGTTCCAACATAATAGACTTGAAAACATATTCTCCTAGATATTCTACATGTATTTAAGTATTTGTGTTCATAAAATTTTCTAATTAAAATGTTTATGTGCATAATTCATTAAGATTTTTTATGTTTTCTATAAAACCATAAAATGTTTATGTATTTGAGTAGCTTTTTATAGCTTTTGGAGAAGGTCGCCGCTAAATATCGTAGCCCGCTATTTAAAACATTGCTAGATAGTGTACTCGTCGTCGACGACCCCGATACATACGCTATAGTAAAGCTTGCGATGCGATGGTAGGAATGAACAAACGAATGATTTGAAGATGGAGGGTGCAAGAAGCAAGCTGGCCAGCCACGACAGAAAAAAACCAAGAAAATGTGTCCACCGCGCCGAAAATCATCCGATCCAGGCCAGCACCAAAAATGAAACACAAGCAAGAATCTACAATGACGCTAGCTGCTTAGCTTTCAATTTACCATGATGAACAAACGAGCACAAGATGCAAGAAGAACAAGTGTGGCCGCCAGCGACGCGGCGAAAGAAAACCATGCCAACATGTAAGGCCCAATGCAAAGATTGCAGCCAAGAAGCAAGCTAAGGAATGGAAGGAAAACATACCTTGGCAGGCGATGGTCTGTTGTTGCCGCCATGGTAGAGCTGGCGGTGATTCCTGGGGCTCAAGCAACAATGCCCGCACATCGGTGTGGCACAACGGAAGCAGAACACGGTCCAACAGCTCCGGTGGAAATCTGTCTACACAAGGCGGTGGAGTGCTCCCTCTGCCACCATGGCTGCCGCTTGCTGGTGGATTGCCGGAGGAGTCGATGGACGAAGACACATGCCTTGCTAGCCCTCCTAGCTAGACTCTCTCCCTCCCTCGTGGCGGCGTCCTCGACGATCGATGGCCGGGAATGGAGGCCGGCTCACCGATTCGATTCGCTGACACGCACCTGTAGGATCTTTGGTACACCTAGAGGGGGGTGAATAGGCTTGTAAAAATTCAACTCAAACCGAAGTCAAATTCACCCACAGCACTGACGCTATGTGAGCGCGGCACTGTCGCACCTGCAGGAGAGATTAGTTTACAGTTCAAAATATACTCAACAAAATTTAGATCGGGTAAATTTCTTATCTTCCTGCAGGGTTGTAGATCACATATCGATAGCTGGAAGTGGTGGGAACACCACACACAAGTAATCGGCCTCAATCCTAGAAATCAAATCAACAACAACAAGAATACAAGTGTAACAACACAAGCACAAGATGACACAATGATTTATCCCGTGATTCAGCTCGCCACCAAGGCTTGCCTAAGTCCACGTTGTTGAGGTATACCACTAAGGCTTAGGGATTTGCAACCCTACCTCGTTCTCAAGTCAAGAGAGTGAACTCTTGAGATGAGGGGTGATTTTACTCGCTGCAAGAGGTGGTTACAAACCTCCTAGGGTTACGACACAAGTTGGCAAGCTCCACGGGCGACGCTCTAGCCGGCTAGGAGCCAAGCTCCAAGAGTAACAAACACAACCGCTGGCTAAGACATGAACCAAGTGCTCTTTAGAGTTTAGGAATCAATGGAGCTGCTCTCTATTCGAGTTTTGGACCCTCTTCCCTCAAGGATTGATAGGGAAATCAATGTATTTGCTTTGGGGCTTGAGGTCAACAATGGAGTGAGAGAGAGAGAGCACCTGCTCTGTTTTAAGCATGCTGAAGTGAGGAAGAAGAGCACTGGGTCGGTTACCATTAGGAAGGAAGGGGCAAGGTATATATATACCCCTAGCCCCCATCGGTCACTTTAAATCATAGATAGCCATTGGCGAGGAAAGGAAAAGGTATATATACCCCTAGCCCTCAACGGACATAGCTCCCAAGAGGTCGAGCGAGATGAGGCCCGTGGCCTCGAGGTCAGGCGAGACGAGGCCGTGACCAAAGGGTCAGGAGAGACGGAGCCCGCGACCTTGGGGTCGGGCGAGCTAGAGCCTGCGGCCTTGGGGTCGGGCGAGCTAGAGACTGCGACCTTAGGGTCGGGCGAGACAGAGCTCGCGACCAAAGGTTCGAGTGAGCCGAAGCCTGCGACCTTGGGGTCGAGCGAGACGGAGCTCGCGACCAAAGGGTCGGGCGAGCCAGAGACCGCTACCTTGGGGTCAGGCGAGACGAAGCCCGCGACCAAAGGGTCGGGCGAACCAGAGCCCGCACCTAAGGGGTCGGGCGTGACGGAGCTCGCACCCAAGGGTTCGGACGAGTCGGAGCTTGCCCCCAAGGGGTTGGACAAGATGGAGCTCACACCACGGAAGGCAGCAAGGGTAATAGTGAAGTGTAGACTGTCTTGGCTGTGAATCTAAGGATGCATGTGGTTGTTTGAGCACTTGGTAGCACCGATTAGCTTAAGCATTATGCCTCTTTATAGTACGACTTTTCCTATACTCAAATTCAATATATAAAAGAATTTAAACCTTCTTTAAGTTTGAAGCCATCTATATTTGTAGTTGGGGGCTCCTCTATTTCATGTAGCATCCTCGAATATAAATTCCCTGCTTGTCATCTCGAAAAATCTCATTAGTTCTCTAATTGTGTGGTCATTATCACCAAAACCCAC